TCCTTATTCACCAAATACTGAAGTATTCCTGTCTTTGTCTCAAACTTTTCCTTCTCGTCCTTCACTTCCTTCTCGTAATCACTGTTTTTGGTCCGTATTTTGTCGCCAAAGTCTTTGAATACATCCATATGAGTGCCGCCGGCGCCCGACGTGTGTCCGTCGGTGTCTTCCGTGTGGACGACATCTTCTGTCCGGTCGTCGCCTTTGAGTCGATGTCTGAGAAGAGCGACTCTCGACTCGCTTTCGGCCAAAAGGACGCGTTTCTCGCGCTCTGACTCTTCGTCTCTCGCCTTTTGTTCGTCTCTTTTCACTCTTTGGATGTTATCCTTATTCCTCACGTGCCATGACTTGTGGTGTAAGATATTCATCGATAATCACCACTAATTACAGACACCAATCATTTGGTAATAAATTGTCACCACTTTTGAAAACAACTCTTCATTTAATTTATTGAATCGTTTTGTAAACAAAAACATTTGCATTACTTTTATATCACGTGATAATCACGTGATTCACAACTGAATGACAAAAACGCGAACCAAACTGTTTGGCGCTGTTTTTGAATTGACTTTTTATATAACAAATACTAAACATTTAAATTGTTTTGCTTTCATTGATTTGGATGTAAATAGTTTTATATTGTCTTTGATTTGTACCACAATATAAATGGTAAGAAACCATTTCTGTGATACAGTTTAGTATCAAATAAATTAAAATTACATTTTTCTAATCGCTTTAAATAGTTTTGTATGGAAAATACGGGCATAAAAACGGACCGATTTTTAGAGTCTATTTTGTTAATGAGTTTTAAAGCGGTCTCGATATGAGTGTTAGTAATAACCGCCAAATCATAGCACAATTCAATCACATTATCAGTCGGATTGCCTCTCATTAGGTCTTCGTGTGATGTCTTATGTTTGATGAGAAGATCGGACGGAATATAACAGCGATTATACCTCGCGTTATGTCCGACGCCTCTCAACACATTGCATAATCCCTGTGCGCGACCCAAATGACTGCAAATGTGGTCCAAATCTATCCGTTGACTCACAGATACGTCCCGAAGACTTGACAAACACTCGACAATTAGATAATAGACGGGAGAGACAGAAGTGTCGCTATATTTCTCCAAATCCTGAACCGTTTGAAACGGAAAGTTACTTAAATTTTTTGAATCCATTCGCGAATCAATCAATTTCTTAAACCAATATTTTCCGGTTTTTGCATTCGTTTCACACTTTAGATAAAAAATAAAAAGTTGTCAAACAATTGATGACTGAATTATAGGCATTGAATTACATGTTTGAGTTCATAAACAACCGGTTCGTTGACGTCCACACCAATTGGTTTGCCACTGAAGACCTCATCGATCAGATCATTAAAAAGTTGTCAAACAATTGATGACTGAATTATAGGCATTGAATTACATGTTTGAGTTCATAAACAACCGGTTCGTTGACGTCCACACCAATTGGTTTGCCACTGAAGACCTCATCGATCAGATCAGACCAGTATTGGAGTCTGATTTGGGCCAAGAGTTGATTGGATGTCATGTCCCGAGTTTGAGCCAACTGTGCGTTAAATGCTTTGATTGCAAACACATTGCGACGAATGGACGACTCGTTCACCAGAATTGCACTCAAATATCCCTCGAAATCGTATTTTCTGTTTGTTTTCAAAACAAATTTATTAAACATTTAATTAATTAATAAATCCATTCATGACTTACTTTACAAAATCCATACAAAACTGTTGCGGAGATTGAGATAATTTTGCGCTCATTTTCTCTTCACTTGTCTTCACTTTAATGTCATTGTCTTTGTATTGATTGAGACACTTATGTAAAGTCAATACATGTCTTGAATTGATTTGCCATTTAATGGCAATCCTTTTCAGTAAAAACATTGTCTCAAATCAAATCAGTTGTGATTTTTGTCACAAAATTGTAACAAAACTTTTCAATCAATTCAAAACATTTGATTTACAGTCAGTTTTATAGCCTAATAATTACGTCCGATATTTATGTCATATAATTTGTGCCCCAATTGTAGACTTGTATTGAATTTTAATGTAAATTATTTGCAAAACTTAAATATATTTTTGACGTAATTTGTATTTATTTACAATTGAATTGTTGTCTGAAAATGAAAACAATTGCTAAACATTTAAATTGTGATTAAATTTGTTTTGTTTAGCGATTAATAAATGGCAATAATATTGAAAAATAGTCTCAAATTAAATGTATTTCACAATAAATTGAGTCCTTTTTTAAGGAGAAGACAATCGGAAACACAGACATCGAGTCTATTATCGCTGACCACCTCTTCTTGCGGTCTAATTGAGTCCACTATTAAAGACAAATTACAGACAAAACTAAAGGTTTGTTTCACTTTATATTGAATTATAGTTTTATTCAGTTTTATCTAAACAATAGTTTTGAACATTAATTGCAATGAGTTTTGACTAATCATTGAATTCATAATTAATTGTTAAGAATATTCTCTAAGAATTGACACTTAATTGAGAGACAGAAGAGTATTATTGATATGATTTTCAAATGTGATTATAATTTCATATTTTCATAGAATTTGAATTGATTTTATTATTACTGTTTTGATTGGGTTTTCAAAACGATTATTATGTTTGAAATGTTTGCATTTGTTTATTACATATTAATAACTGTTTTTAATTAAAAGAGATAAAAAATGTCCTAAAATTGTATTGACTTTTTTTGTATTGAAATATAAAAATGATGTGAAATTAATAGAAAAATATGTCAATAGTTTGGAAACACATTAAATAAGATAGAAATCACTTCGAGTGCTGTCTTAGAGGCGAATGACTGCACGAAAGGCCGTAAGAGTGTGGGAGTGTTGGGCGGCGGGGCGTGGGGTACAGCCATCGCTGACCTCATTGGCCGCAATGTCGCCAAACATAAGCACTTGTTTCACGAAGAAGTGCTCTTTTATGTGAGAGACGAGAGCTTACGGCTAATCATTGAGAAGACGCGACAGAATATCCGCTATTTGAGTGCCATTAAACTGCCACTCAATGTGAGGCCCGTCTCATCACTAAGCGATGCCGTCTCCAAATCGGATGTCTTAATCTTCGTTATTCCTCATCAGTATTTACAAGACCTCTGCTATGCAATCAACGATTCCATTTCAACGCGTAATCCAATTGGCATTTCTCTCAGTAAAGGTCTTCATATCGATAGCGCCGGCAATCTTGAGCTCAATTCGCAAATAATTCACCGCATGTTAGGAATACCAGTGGGAGTCCTGTCCGGCGCTAACATAGCTATAGAAGTGGCTCAACGACAGTATAGCGAAGCAACTCTTGTCAACCCTTTAACTAACGACAAGAATTGCGAAGAATTATTTCGATGTCTGTTTGAGTGCAATCTCTTCAGAGTCTCTTTCTGTAACGACGGGCCGACTGTCGAGATGTGCGGCGCTCTCAAGAATATTGTGGCCATTGGTTGCGGTCTTGTCGATGGCTTGGGTTATGGTATGAACACAAAAGCGGCCGCACTTTCCTGCGGTGTCCGCGAAATGATACGTTTTGTCGAAGTATTTCATCCGAAGTATGAATTGTCGACATTCTTCCAGAACTGCGGAATCGGTGACATCATTGCCAGCAGTTTTGGCGGAAGGAATCGTAAAGTGAGCGAAGCGTTGATTAAGTCAAGCAAATCCATTGAAATGCTTGAGAAACAACTATTGAGGGGCCAAAAACTTCAGGGCCCGCAGACCGCGCACGTTGTCTATCAACTCTTACAAAACAAACAGCTTTTGAATGAATTTCCATTTTTTTCTGCCATTCATCGCATTTGTAACCGAACTATGGATCCGAAAGATCTAATCCAAGCCATCAAATCTAGTCCTTAATACTTAATACTTTGTTCACTACTTTCTTGAATCTCATAATTAGTCAAATCATTTGAGAGCTTTTTTTAGTCAAAACTATTGTTTGAATTTTGAGAAATTTTTACTGTAAGTTATATTAGATGAATGATATATACCTGTTGTGTATTATGATATAAGACAATCACAGTATTATATCCATTATTGTAATTTCCAATTATATTTTCATTAATGGTGTGAAATACTTAAAATAATAGTGAAATTAGTGTTTGTCTGTGTAATTAATATTTGTTTATATAAGAAATGTTTTTGCAAACATATTAATGTTTCTACAATAAACATAAACATTGATGTATTGTTAATAAAAAAATACATTATTTAACAATCCATTAAAATTTGAAGTTTTTTTGCTATTAATACTAAATATAATAATAAAAATGTTTATTATTTCTATTTATGATATATTCGTATATTTTAGGATTAAGTTTGCATATCTATATTAGTTTTAATATTTTTGTTCAAAATACCCATTTTATAGCCAATATATATGAATGTAATGAATGAGAGCCACAAACATAATGTCCCGAAAGGATCCGAAACCCATTTTCGAGTAGTGATTGTTTCGCCACAATTCGTGTCTTTGACTTCTTTAAAGGTAAACAATAGGCGATTGTTATGATTGTATGCAAAATGTAATTCATTTATAGCGACACCGTTTGGTGAATGACATTCTAAGCCAAGAACTGAGCGCCAGTGTTCACGCCCTCGCCATACAAGCCTTCACACCCGATCAGTGGACCCCAGACTCACCCGACACTCACTCCTCGCCCACATGTCGCGGAGGATTTGGATTATGAATAGATTCACAATCAATCTATCAGTTTCACACAATTCTTGCAAATTATTTGTAATTGTAATTCTTTATTGGTTTTTAGTTAATTCTATTTAATTTTCATTAAATTTAATTGCTACAAAATTTACTCTATGTAGAAATTGTAATAATATTTCAGTTAAATTAGAATTAATATTGGTTATAACTTCTGATGGGCTAAGTCGCTAGAACACTTTCTCAGATCACTTTCTCAAACATGTTGATTGGCCACTGTATCAGTTCACACTGTTTGATTGACTATAACCTTGGCGCATAATATGAATTTCAACAATT